GTTTGCATGCTTATTTGTTTAAGAAGGAAAAAAGAAGCCACGCCAGTAGGCTGGTTGTCCAGCGGCACTCTGCTGTATTCGGTCAGTCAGCAGCGTTCATTGTTGTATAAAAGCTCGCGCGATCAGCCTTCATTTGTCCGCCATCTTGGTTGTATCTAGTTCTCGTTAGGGGAGATTTCGCTTGCATTAAAGATAAAGCTTACAGTTCATCGGGGCCTAGTGTGTGTCCATTTAGACTACTGGTGCTTGGAAATGGAAATCACAGTATTTTATTCCTATCTCAACAATAAATTATTGTTTGTGTAAATTTTGCTAGCAATGCACAGAATTAATATTCAAAAGGATTATTGACAGGTACAATTTATATCTATTTCAAGTTCTGATTCCAACTGTTTACATTTCTCATATCTAGAAACAAAATAAAATTCTACATATACCACCAATCACCATGCATGTTTGACATTGCTTGTGTTTGACACGATTGGACAGTGAATCTCTCTCACAAAAAGTAGATCTACACACAGTCTCCTGGATGCTAATTTGTCTATCCATCACTCAAATTTTAGGGTATATTTACTCGATTGTGGATCTGACTTGTACAACATCCATGAAAAAATGTTCACTCTGGCCGAACTGCATGTTAGAATACAGAAGAAATGCAGTGTGAACAACAACAAAATTAAAAGATAAAGCAATTTGAATATTTTGCTTGAAGTAACCTATTCTAAAATACAAATTAAATCACAGGTTTCGAACTTCCAATACAAGCACTGCCAGAATTTCAATGTACACATAAAAAGTAATACAATACAGAAACAATGAAGCCAAAACTTAACAAGAACTTAGGCTTACTTTGGACTCTACAAGGAGAGAAAGCGAGTGGAACCCATCAAATTCTCTAGCTAAGAATAAAAGCTCCCAGGTATGCTAAACACAATCTCACTTTCTGACTTTGACTAGTATCAATTCTTTGACCTCACCGGCCATGCTGTTGTGACCAATACATGACCACAGTCACGAATACCTCTCTCAGCTTTCATCTATGTGTGAGCAAATTTAATACGGCCAAATTTTCATGGCCCTTGGGTGACCATATTAACAGGGTTCCACTGTAGTCTAAAGGTTTAATTTATGGGGGAAAATAGTATGTTAAAAAGAAGCAGGCTAGTCTTGTGTAAACTAAAAGAAGATCAGAAAAGAAAAAGATGTAAATGAATAAAATCTACTCCTCCCATGCAGGAGTACCAGGATGACTGGACAAAATGAGTGGTGATGTTCTAGGTCAAACTGAATGTCCTGAATCTCTTGATGGGCATTTTACAATGTTGTGGTGTGATGTTCCAACAATGATTGACTGAGTTTGCATTGCTCACAGCAACTTGCAACTTTCAATTCAACCAACCCAACAAATTTGTCAAGTTTTGCTGCAGTTTGATAAGTTTTGGATTTCATTTTTCCCTGTTTAACATGAAACAAAACCACTTTCATCTCAAAGAGGGAGAAAAGAATTGCCCTACATTTGTCTGGTCATCAACAGACTGTAAGAAAGTTAGCAACAGGTTAAGGGGTCTAAATTGCCATACTATATGTAGGAAATGCAATTCAAATTTAAAAGTGTAAGTCACACGTTGCATAGCAAATTTGAATTTTAAGGAGCAACGCACAGTTTGGAAATTTCCACTTGACTTGCACTATTGCTCTTAATATGTTGACTTAAGGGTTATTATTTTCTCATTCTTTGATACACAGTAATTTTTCATTTTACATGGGAAACGTAAACCTGAACTTGCCAAAACTCAAATGAAACTTAGCAACTAATTCACTTGCAAACCAGTACTTAACATCTCTTCCAGATGATGACTCAGCCAGGAATGTGACAACCAATCACAATGATTTCACCCATTTATATGTAGAAAAAGGTCAAATGCTGCTCACAAGGTACATACATGTATAGCCTGCTTATTATATTGACTATTCTTTTAACGCAAGAAATAATCTTATTCCTAACTGACAATTTTATGGTATAGAGTCAAACCTCCGATAACAGAAACCTCCACGATATGGACACCTCTATATTACAGACAGTTCACTTGGTCCCAGAGAAAGTAAATTTCTTCATATTATAGAGCCTTGAGTATATTTTCTCAACTTTCTTTCTTTCTTGAGGGGGCAGCGTGGCCAAGTGGTTGGAGTGCCAGATTTGAAATCCGTAGTTCCCAGGTTTAAATCTCATTCTGACCATTAGCTGATGTTGTTCTTGGTAGCCCCAAGTGCAACTTCTCGGCTGCACTTGTAAATAACCAACTGGTCTGCCTCCTGCCAGTTGAGATTCTTAACCTAGTTATGTTTAATTTGAATATTTATTTATCACTGTTTGTTTGCATTGGTCCTGAAAAGCCCCAATGGGGAGTGGCCAATTAAGTATACATTACATTTTTTTTCTTTTTACTTTCATTTAATCTTACAAATTACAAGGTTGATAACTTACCAGCAGTGGGCCACAAGATCCACTGGAATAATTATGACCATCTGAGCCAGCTATGCAGTGCAGTGATGATGACCTTGTGGATTCTTCATGTTTGAAGTGCAAATCATATTTTATTTGTAGCGATGCAGAGGAACTGAGAGTGTCTGATTGAAGAACTGTCTTTAATGGAAGTACTGCTATCCCAACAATGGCAGGCTATAGAGTAACAGATCTTTGTCTTACATTTTAAGTGATTCAACACAAGCACTTGTCGACTACACAACTTGCTAAATATTGCAAGCACAGTTCAACTAGTCTGCATATTAGGTGAGAATATTATAACAGATAGGTGTTTGGAATAAAGTCTATCCATTGCAGCATGGATCTCTCACACCATAACAAACACAACAGTAACAAATGGCTGTGGTCAAACCTTCTGACTCCAAAACAGTACTCAAATCCTGACCCCTAAATCTCCAATTAAACACACTACCAATAAGGTTACTAGAGGAGTAAAAGTTAGTGTCTTGAATAAGAACACTTGTCAACACAACCGCTCTGGTCATAATTTAAATCATTAATTCTGAAGCACTAACATCAAACTTGTCTGAAGCTGTGACTCTAAACCACTAACCTAAGCAAAATAGACTGTTTACATTTGTCTACATTTTATATATTTCCACATCATCCAAAAGATACTTAAACTCATCAACAATAAATAGACATGGGGGAAGGTAAATGTAACACTGGTACAACCACACATTACAAGCTGAGCATGAAGAGTATCCATTATAAACCCTGTGAAAAGCATCCAACAGGCACCATCACACTGAAATGTTGCAGTGCAAAGAGTAAACATGCATTTTACATAACTACCAGGACAAATGGGTCAGAAACAAGGCCTTTGGACCCATCTTAAAAGTGACAGAAGCAACAGCAGCAATGCGACCTGACTTATATTCATACATCCTCAGCAAAACCATCCTACTGCCCCACATCTATAAGAGAATCTGATGGGTAGCAGTTGTCTTGGGTTTCACATTAAGCCCTATAATTACGAAACATGCAATTATACTAACTTCATTTTAAAACTCTATCAACATTAAGTCCAAGGGGGAGGAGGGACCCCGGGTATTTGTGGGGCATTTGACTTTGATTGCCTTCCTCACCCTCAGGAAATAGACTAAAAGTCTGGGCCCCAGGGCCTGGACATTTGATTTTTTTGGAGAGAATGGAACCAAATCACATCATCACCAGTGCTGGTCTGGGCAGCCATCTTGATATACTTCTTGTAGAGAAGAACAAGAGTGACCTTTCAAGGTAAGCACTTCTTTTCGGCAAATGAAAAAAAACATTTCTCTCACTATTCACTTTCAAAATAAATTGATGGAACACCTCAATTTGTGGAGATTCATTCATCAGATGACCAAGTGACTTAGCATTGTAATTCTACTATTTTCCATCCACTGACAGCGAGAAATTATACACTGTACCTCTCTTGAAATGAATGGACACCTAGAAGGCAACATGTTACAGCACTATGCTAATGTGGGGATATTTGATCTGATTCTATCCATTTTGTGCATCCTACAGTGGGGATTTTGACCAAAAATTCTTCTGAAAAGTCACATGCCCCAAGTATGCCCAGCCCCCAGACCCTCTTCCCCCCTCAGGCTTAACATTGATAGATTTATTAGAACCTGTAGAATTTGAAAAAAATTGCCAAAGTATCCACTGCCAATTCAAGCACTCAACACATATACAAAGTCATGTACACCAGCTTACCACTCTTTGTCCAGATTCTCTAAAATAAAGTCTGAAAGTCAATGGAAGTCTCCACCAATACTCTATCACAGCAGAATTAAACAACACAGGGAAAACTGAACGATGATTGAATAACAATGCTGTAGGAAATAAAACAGAGAAAGAGCCAACTGAAGGTTAACTGCAGCAAGACAATAACTTACAGTAAATTCTATTGATTTGTCAGGGTTTGAAATAACCATCAGTATGCTTCTGCCATCAGTCAATGGACAATGTCCTGTCAAAAATTGCTTTTTCCAGTCAAATTGCCAGATGACTGCATATTTGTCTGGTTGTTTACACTTCAAAGGAAAATTTGATTCAGAGATAGTTCCACATTAAGTTGTACATTATTTGAGTTTGAGAAAAAAAAAATGCAAACAAAAGATATGATCAGACCCCCTTTCACTAAAGTAAAATTTCCGGTAGTTGCAATCCAGGAGTTGCAAGTTTCTGCTTCGTCATCAATCACTTATGACCACAAAATCAGAGGGTCTTCTTGCATAGTGTGTCTATCAGTGTGTATGCAAATACAGTTGAATTTCCACTAATGGCTTCCTCTTTACAACGGTCACTGCCACTTTTTTATCCCGGCAGACAGTCCATACATTCAATATTATATTACCCTCTCTACAACGGCCACCTCTCCACAAAGGCAACAGACTCTAAAGCGCATCCCAACTGCCAAAAATAAACTTTTGGCAATGGCCAGTTCTTCAATGACTGAAGAGCGGGTATACAAAACCTCATGTCTAAGCGTGTCGTTGGTCTCTCTTTCTATTTTATAAATTTTGGAAGACAGTGTAATGTATTTACATGCTAAAACAAGCATTTTAAAGAAGAAAAATGTTGCACCCCCCTTAAATGGTGGGGGGTTCAACAACAATATTACAGTGGCCACTTTCCTCTGTCCCCAAGGTGGTCATTGTAGGGAGGTTTGACTTTAATCCTTATTGTCCATGTGGAATTTGCCACTAACTAATGTTGCGAACTGCAGCGCTGTAATGTAGGAACTGATAAAGATGCCCCTTGATCCATTGACTCCCAGAGTTTTTGCCAAAAACACATCTTTTGGATATTTTGGAGATTTTCAGCCTATATATGGACTAAATTACCGTATTTTCCCGTGTATAAGTCGACCTTTCAAGACCTAAAAATCAGTCCAAAAATTCGCCCTCGACTTATACATGGGTCAAAACTTGAGATCCA